GATCGGCATCGGACCCCCTGTCGGAGCTCGGAATTTTCAATTCCCAGATGGGGGAAATGGCAGGAGAAACCAGGGAATGTGTCCAGGGATTTTCCGCGACCATGGCAGCAAAATACCCGACCGGGCATTTTGACCAGGTTTTTGGTCCTGTTTATTTTTGTTACCTTTTTCATTTAGAATTCTTTTCCTTTTTGGTGTTTTCATTAGGTTTATTTCCCATACCTATTTAAAAGGGTTGTAAGCCACGAATTTTAGGAGATTGGAGGAGATTATTCAGACTTTGATAATGGAAAAATACTTTTCGGTTCATTGAGTTTTTACTCGTGGATTTTGTCCTTGTTTCTCTGTGGATCTCCAACATTCAAGCGAGCTCTGTATCAATCAGGTATTCCCCTTGATTGTGGTCGAGTTGCTACCCTTTATATTGTTCGAGCTTCTTCTCGATATGTGTTGAATTTGCACGACAATTCTGCCATGTCCTTTACTTTTCGAGTTGTTGAAAGAAAATTCAGAAAACCCTAAAAATATCGAAGTTGCGCGACTTTGACAGAAAAACGTAAGCTTTCACGAGCTGGGGATCTTATCAGGTGGTATTAGATGCCCCGTTCAAACTCAGCGGTAATTTGAGGTATTTTTATTTCGTTTTTGTTTACAAAAAAAAATTGTTTGTGATTTCATGTACTATGCACGGAGGAAAAAATTTAAAAAAAACTTTGCACATCAACCACAAAGCTGAACGTGAAAAAAAAGGAAGAAAGATATTTTGAATTTGGTTGTGTGTTTGTGGTTCAGCTCAGTGGCAAGGAATGGAGATCGCGAGCTTTCATCAAACAATGATTGATCCAAAGTATGCGGCGGACGTGAACACATGTGCTGAAGGGAAAAAGAGGCTAGTCGACACAGATCTTTGGAAGAATATGTAGAAGCCGTTGGTTGCCCTAGTTCAAGCAACGACCGTCCGCAATAATAAGGAGGGCAATAGAGTTTTGAGTCATGAGGAAGAGGAGGCAAATTTGGAAGTAAAGAAATCGTTGATCAACTGTCCAGAATCGGAGAAGAAAGATGGAGAGTTCTACGAGTTGATCATGGTAAAAAAGGAGAAGATAGTTAATCACGATCCTTTTATGATGATTTTTCTTGCAAAATTTCCCAAGTTTTGTAAAAAAAAGAGCCAAATTTGCAAACTCGGAGCGAGACTTTTATGGAGAGAAGCAGGGACGTCACGTTCACCTTTCTGTGGATGATTGTATTTGTATTTTCTATCAACCGAGGTACAGGAAGAGGAGGCAAGAAGACGGTGAACCTTGCTAGAGGACTTTAGAATACGGTGAACCTTGCTAGAGGACTTTAGAATATTTCATTTGGAAGCCAGAATGGAAAGTTTTGAGAGCAAAACTCTTCAACGGAGAGGGACAAAACCATTCCGCAAAGTGTTCAATGTTTGTTCACATTTTGCGGAAGCAGCTTTATATTTCCCACAAGCAGCCCAACCACATTCCGCAAGCATAGGGCAGCACCGGCAAAAAGAGAACACAGGCAAGAGATGCAGTCTCCAATCTCCATAATTAAGGTAGCATAAACCTTAAGAACCATAGCATCACTGTCCCCGCGGGACTAATGGTGAAGAAATACAAAACGAGTCTACACACATCAATCAAAGCAATCAACTCCTTCAAGAGTTTCCCACAGAGAAGCAAAACCAACTCCTTCAAGAGTTCGCCAAAGAGAAGCAGCAAATTCATCTAACCTTAAGCACCTAATGGATTAACATAGACCACACAGTGACAATCAAGTGCAGCGTCAGCTTAATCATCCTCAAACATCGATAAATCTATGCTATTCAAATGCAAAGGTTGGGAAAACAAGCAGCACACTATACGTGAACCCACCTACAAAAGTGCCAAAACCAGAACATATCACTCTACATCTGCTCAAACCCTGGACTTAATCACAACAAGACTAAAAATTAGTACATCAATCACTTGTTATAGAGCACCCGTCGTGCACAAAGAAATGTTAAAAACAGAGGAATCTCAAATCGAACCCTAACACCCTTTACACCAAGCAAAGGAACACTACAAACATTGCCAAGATAGAACTTCAGAGAATCAACAAAATACATTCCCCTAAAGCAGATATCCTATCACTCTAAACAATCATTTCAAAACTTAAGCACCTAAGAAACTAACATTGTGGTGGGTTGCCCTACAGATTACCCTCGTACGATTCACAACATGCAAGCTCTAAGATTAGTACATTAATAAATTCAAACATAGCACCAGACCCAGACAAACAAACCTGACACAGAGATATTTAAAACAAATCGTAACCCCAATACCCTCTACATTACACAAGCAAAGAAGCACAAACAGACATTCCCACTTGAGATCTTCAGATCATCAACCAAAATACATTGGCCTAAAGCAGATATCCTATCAATCAAAACAATCATTCCAAAACTTATAAGCACCCAAGAAACTAACATTTTGGTGGGTTGCCTCACAGATTACAACCATCAAACACATTATTCTAAACAACCGCTCCTAAACATCTGAGAAATCAACATTTGGGTGCGTTGGCATAACGATCATTATCATCTAATGTTCATTACCCGCACTAGACAATTTAACGATCCATAAACAGGACAAGGAAACAAATCAAGCAGAGATAAATATGGAGCAAATCGTTGGTTCGGATATAACAGATCTAAACCATCATAATTCAACAATTAACATCATCCATGGCAGCAAACACAAGAGTTTTGATCCATTCGCTATTCAAAACTGCAAACTAAAGACAGTAAAACTTAACGAGACAGTAAAAGATATCCAGAATACTCTGAAAACAGCAGCCAAAGAGCGAGCCTAATCGGAACCAGCCTTGTTGTAGACATAGGTCATGCCACACTTGCCACAGTAGTGCCTGTCGAAGTGGTTGGCCATGAACGTCCCGGCTCCGCACTCGGCGTTGGGGCACTCCTTCCTCAGCCTCTGCACCTTGCCGGAATCCTCCACCTTGTAGAACTGGAGCACGGCGAGCTTGACCTTCTTCTTCTTGTGCTTAATCTTCTTGGGTTTGGTGTAGGTCTTCTTCTTCCTCTTCTTGGCGCCACCACGGAGGCGGAGGACCAGGTGGAGGGTGGACTCCTTCTGGATGTTGTAGTCGGCGAGGGTGCGGCCGTCCTCCAGCTGCTTGCCGGCGAAGATCAGCCTCTGCTGGTCCGGCGGGATGCCTTCCTTGTCCTGGATCTTCGCCTTGACATTATCGATGGTGTCGGAGGACTCGACCTCGAGGGTGATGGTCTTCCCGGTTAGGGTTTTCACGAAGATCTGCATCGTTGCAGCCGAGAGGGTGAGCGCTCTAGGGTTGAGTAGTTGCAGAAATGGGAGAAAGAGTTGTTTATATACCGTAGATTTGGGGAGGCTAGGGTTTTTGCTTGATTGCTTTTTGGGTCCTTGTTTATCCTGGACCGAGTTCAGGCCCAATATATTTAGAACATTTAGATAGCTCATAGCTCTATAGGCCTAAATCCAATCGTAACCAGGAGATTAGAATGTTGGGCCTTGTCGTGGGCCTACATTGAAAATGAACTATGATGGTGAATGGTGATGATTTCTTCTAGTTCTACAAGACCGATTCATTTGGAGAGGTGGACCCCACACTCACAGCGCCATAGCAGAGGCCAGAGAGGCTGGAATGGATGAATGAAAAATGTGCAGAAACAAAAGTTGAAGAAGATAACTGTGCCACCTGTCATGTACAATTTGTAGAAGCGCCAACTTGCTTGTGTAAAAGGTTAGAAATACTTTCAGAGTGACAATTGGCCAGGGATAGGAACAGGATTGTCTTTGCACTATTGTCATAAAATGTGGTGGCTAGGGCTGGGAATGTAGACCAAACCGTATGGAGAATCGCAGTGTATACTGTATCGTATGATTTGGTCAGCAATGTAAAATCAAAATTATGATCTGGTCTGGTTTGGTTTGCGATCTCATTCTTTAGTATGTGGTCTGAAGTGGTCTGGACCGCTCTACCGCAGTAAATCGAAATGGGCCGTGACACACTACCTACTAACTCACACCGATATAACACTAAACTAAACCTTCATTTATGTATTTGAAGAACACAGTTAGTCGATTCTTCATCAAGTTGAAAGCCAACAGATTGCTCTAATGATCGCTTACGCGTTATCTCCTTATCAAAGAACCACGCAAAAACCAGAAAGAATCGTATATAATATTCACCGACAATGTCTAGACTAAACTATAGAGTCTAAAACATAAACACTAGAAAAAATCCATTCAACTTGATGAGATAAGAAAAATTATTGAGATATAAGCAATCATCTTAGTGGTTCAAAATGACTTCGACGTCATCACGATGGTGATCGACCGCGAGAATCATGTTCACTTGAGAGAGAGAAGCTGTAGCTCAAAAAGGAAGAGAGATAGTTTAAAAATTGGAAAAGCCCACTTCTCTACTCATATATTTCTTCCCATTTAGTTGATGGTAAGAATTTGTGTTGAATGGAAAGTCGATCGAAGAAGGGAAAAAGGGGAAGGGAGAACTATCCATTCCCAGAATTTCATCGGGAAGAGGAGGGGGTAAATATCAGGCGTCCTGTGGGGGGGGGGGAGTTGGGTTGGAGTCAGTTAATTGCCTGACGTGGCAGGTTAGATCTAATTTTATTTATTTTTGTTAAAGTTGGGTGACTCAACACTTTTGTCAGTGCAAAAAAATTGACGGTGCTAACGGAAGGTAATAAAGAGTGACTAAACATGAACTATCAAATTAATTTTAGTGATCACTAACGGAATTAAATATTTGTAGAAATATTTGTAGTGACCAAACATGAACGTTTTTAGTAATTCGAGTGACTAACTGTGCAATTTACCCCGCCATGGTAAGTACTTTTTTAATTCTCCAAATACAATTCTTATGGCGATAGTTCATATTTATTGGTGGGTCATTGCCCATGAGTATGGGAAACGTGTCGGATCCGTGCGCATCCCGGTCCCGACCCGAGCAAATATGCAATGGTCCCTTTCCGATTTGCCGAATCCTCTTCTCCCTCCACCACCAACAACCATCTCTGCTGCATTCTCATTCCGACACTTTTAACGAATTCGTTAATGCACCAGCAGACAAATCGGGTGCAGGGTCAAACTTCTCTTTCTTTCTGGATTCCATTCGTCTCCGTGGCAGAAAAAACACCGTATTTGCCTTCCTCTCCAATGCAATCAAGACCCATTTCTTCATCCAGTCTTCTCCGTTTATCTTTTGTTGATCACTGTCATCAATCCTCGTGCTTTCTGGTGAAAGAAAGTGCATATCTTTGTGTATTGGGGGAGTTGGGTTCTGCTCTGGGCGCTCAGTTTTGCTTGTAATCAAGAGTAGCAACATCATCATCGCGGCGCGTCTTTTCATCTCAGAGCTGTAAGACCCTGCCAGAAACTCTTGATTCTTGCATTTTGATTCATGGTTTAGAATACGGAATCGTTGGTTTGGTTGGATACAGAGTAAAGAATCTTCCTTTATGGGTTAGAAATTGCCAATATGGAGGGTTTGTGGATTGTCTTTGTTACTGCTTTTCTTCTGTAATGAGTTCCTTGAGTGCATCATGAACATATTGAAAGAAGGAAGGTGGTTGTATCAATTTTGTGACGCTTGGTTAATTCACACTTTACATGGTTTATTTAGCTTCATTTTTACTTGTCCTTGCACATACTCGGATTCGCATCTCTTGATAGTAGCTCCTATGCCATTCCTAATTCATTGTCTACAGTACACACACGTCTGTCATTATAAGCAACTTGAGTTCTTAGCTAAGTTCTTACCTGCAACACAAATGATAATCCTACAAGTAAGCTACACAAGCACAATCCACCTCCAGAAACCTACACAATATCTTTGTTTACCAAATTACCACAAGAAATTGGTCAGAAAATTAAGCAGTAGTCACTCTGTGTGGGTATTAATTAAATATATTCTGGAATTTTTTATATAAAGCAATTACCATGAGAAGGTCTACTTGTCCTTTTTTTAGGAGATAGTTGGGCTACTTTCAATCCTGCATTATTCTTCAATGTAAAATTTCAAATTTGTGATCATACTATCCAGTAAAGAAATGTGGCTCTGGGAATACCAAAAGATTGAGTAAAAATGTTAACTGTGTGAGCAGGATCCTCAAAACAGACTACTTGACACCCCATCATGAGTGCCGCAGATACAACTGAGCCAAGTTATTGGTTGAACTGGAGATTCGCCATCTGTGCAGCTTTCATTGCAGTTGCTATTTCTCTGTCAGGTTTTCTAATATGGAAGAATGAAGGTTCCAAGGAATCGGATTCCGAGTGTGAGTCTGAATCCGTGAGAATAGAAAGTCCTCCAACCAGAGTTGGGTCCTTGTATGCGGATGAAGCTTGGAAAACATGTCTCAAGACGGTTCATCCTGTTTGGTTGCTGGGTTTTAGGATAATTGCTTTCATTGTAATGTTCGGGCTACTTGCAGCAAATACTGTCAGGGATGGAGGAGGCATTTTCTACTTCTATACTCAGTAAGTTGTCCCTCTAGTAAACCATCATCTTCTTTCCCCTAACTTAAAATTAAACAAAAGCATGCATTATCTAGTGGCTAGAAAGACTCAGTTTGGTATTTTCTACAGCCATTATGTGAATGCCTGTGCAAAATATTCTTTGTTGACTTGTTACTCATACCACTCCCCTTGATATTCTCATGTTTAATGTGCTCATTACATTAAATAATTCTTTCTTCTTTTTAGGTGGACATTCACTTTGGTGACCATCTATTTTGTGGTATGTTCTCTCAGAAAATCTGTTTATGAATAGATCACTTTTTCCAGCTATCCACTTCTCTATCAGTTACTTCTGTTCAATATTGATAGTGATGCACACTTTTAAGGTTGTAATATATAAAATAAAAAAATTGTCAAGCTTTGGAAGGAAAACATCCTGCTAAGTATGATGGTATTACCTGAAAGAAATTGCTCATGGTGTCATTTTTTATGTGAAGCTTGGATTAGCAATGTCCATTTACGGATGCTGCAAACATTGTGATGCTTCGGGCAGGGTTGCTCGGGAACGCTTTGATGCTGAGAGAGGAACTTACATGGCGCCCACCCTTGTGGAAATCGGAGACTCATCCAACCATATAAAAGGTTCAGCTGTCCATCGAGAACCTTTCACTGAGAAAAAGCAAACTGCAGGTGCATGGGGCTATATCATCCAAATCATCTTTCAGGTAATTTATCTTCTGCATGCAGTGTGGCTTCAGTTTAGTGGAGTGCAACTTAATTTCTTTTTCACGTGTATTCCTGAATTACCTGGCTTGGATATGTGGATGACGATGAAGGTGATAAGGCATACCAATAATGAGGCTTCTCCTTACTTAAAGGACTAACTGGATAGTTTGTTCACTCTACTCATTGCGTAAGATAGTTTTGATAGCTTCCTTTCATTTCCGTCTTGCTCTTGTTTTCCCAGTATGCTTTCCCTTTCTGGTTTCTATATACATATATTTCTGAACTTTTGTCCTGCTACCTCACTCCCTTTTGGGTTTTTGATAAAATTGTTACTCAATTATCAAAAACAGATGGGTAGTATGACTCCCATACCCTGTGACTTGTTTCGTGATCTTATTAAATAGTCATGTAAGATGCATATAATCCATCTGATTTTTCAGCTATTACGTGACAGACTTGTGCAGGTGCTGTGGTGCTCACCGATTGTGTATTCTGGTTCATCCTTTATCCATTTCTAATGGCTGCAGATTTCAGGCTTGAGTTTGTAAGTATTACATGTTTCTCCATTGTTTGCTTGGGGTTTCTATGAGTGGTCTTATATGCATTTCTTTTCTGTGTATGATATTGTACTGAATGTATTGAGCTTGACCACAGAATGGTTTGCCAAAGGTTACAGTTTTCATGTCCCCCCATTTCAAAGAGCATCGCAAAAGATGAAGTTCTATACTTGTGGGATTTTCATATCATTATTCAAGCCAGTCTAGGTTAAACAGCAGTAACCACCTGCTGTTCTTCGTCATTGCAAGTCAAACTGTTCGTCTGACAACTGTGCTTTTCCTTCCTCTCAATTGCAGATAAATGCCTGCATGCATTCAGTGAATGCAGTTTGCCTGCTTGGTGACACCGCGCTGAATGGCATGGTAAGTTCAACACTATCGATGGCTCTCTTTCTATATCTGATTCCTTTGCAGTCCAGTAACTAACATAACGCCATTATTATCTTCTCTATCCAGCGGTTCCCCATGTTTCGAATGGCGTATTTCGTCTTATGGACAAGCATCTTCGTGCTTTTCCAGTGGATTATCCATGCCTTTGTGTCGATGTGGTTAGTTTGACAGCACAAATCCCTCATTCCTTTCTACTCACTCTGAATATCGCACATGTAACTCTGTGGAACTAGGATTGAAACGTTTGCTTCTTCTTGGTATAGGTGGCCATATCCATTCCTTGACTTGTCATCTAAATATGCTCCCCTGTGGTATGAACATCTCCCTCACTTTCTCATCAACTATTATCATTGCTTTTGGACCAAACTAACTCTAAACGTCCGTGACTACTACATGGATCTGCTTACAGGTACCTGGGAGTGGGAGTTATGCATATTCCTTGTTATGGGTTCTTCGCTCTGATAGTTAGGTTGAAATATTTTTGGTTGGCAAGATCGTTCCCTGATTCATGCCATGTCTTCAGGTGAAAAACATGGCACTTGCTCTAGTAGCAGCAAGCTGGAAGAAATTAGTTTATGTGCCGAGAGGATACAGATCCTTTGATTAATTGTATCAGAGTCAATGTTATGAAACCAGGGGTTTCCGTAACTTGGCTCTCAAGTTTCTGTAACATTCTTATTTATTCCCCTCCAATTTACAGTTACGAAGGAAATGAGTGATAGCAACTCTTCTTGAATCTATTAAACAACATTGAATCAAAAGAGGCCAAGCCACTCTCACCTCCATGGTAAACTGCTTCCAACCAGAATTAGTCATGGTAGTAGCAAAGCTGTTGCAGATTGCTCCATTAACGTTGATCCACGTGGATCGAGCTAGTAGGACATGGCTAACTCATGCATGCGAAGGAAGGGAAGTCATAAAGGGAGCTTGAGCAGGCTAGCTAACAGAGGGTTGATAATGCAGGGTTTGTTTCTCGAACTTGTAAAGTAAAATTGAACAAAGTTAATTACACAAATCCTGAATGGCTGATGCAATGAATGTCAGTCCAAGTACAAATCCTCACGGCTCAAGATTGTTCGAAACAGAGGAAAAACCAGCAGCACCTACTATGGCTTTACATTGTCCCGGATAAACTGTTCGACATCCGCTATCTTACTGGTCAAACCAGAAGCTTCTCCTACGGAGACTTTGTTAGTGCATTGTGAGAATGAAAATGTTTTCCCAGGTGTACCAAGTGTGTGGTCGTTCGCAACATCAGCATCAGATACGGCACTTCTTGATGTTCGTAGCTTGTCACTGTGGGATGAATGAAATCAGATAATCAGGGTGAGCATACTAGTTCTTAGAACATTAAGCAACGCGTTCTACATGGAACAGCTTTGTCAAGGATAATCGACAAAAGAATGAATGTAAAATAAAATAAAAGAATGCAGTGCAAGGCGGAACTGAGAGGGATCAAGAGCCATACATCTCTTTTTCAAGCTGTTTGCAGATGAAATCCTTTGTGTGTGCTGTCACCTTCTCTGTCTTGTTACAGCAAATCAAAACAGGAACCTTCTTCTTCACCACACTTGCTTTGGTTAGAATATCATACAGATACCTGTGACACACAGAATTAAACACGGTTAGAAACCAGTGTCCAATCAAACAAACAAAAGTAGGTCAGATGTTTGACCCATTAAGGCAGTTCAAGATAAGGAAAAATACTCTGAAACTCCACGAAGGTTAGGTAAAAACTCCAGGGCATCAACAACAAACACAATGCCAGCTGCTTCAGGCAAGAACTCATCTAGCTTTGGCAGAAGACGAGGATGCCCGGGAACATCAACAATGTGGACAGGCTTCACCTTGCGCTCCTGTTTTTTAATACCAGAGAAAAAACACAAGCAAATGCGTGGAAATTTTAGGGGTATCCAATTCCTCGTATAATCAACACGGCTAGAAGAAATAATACAAAGCAAGTGCAAACTGGTGCGACAGGTTATTAACCAACATTAGGCAGGGTTGAAACTGAGATAAGCTTACCTTGCCAGCTTCAGAATGGAGAATGAAAGTTCCTTCATTGGGTTCCATTGAGGTGACAGTACCCTGGTGTGAAGAGCCATCCCGAAGCTACAAAAGAAGGCAAACAATCAGAACCGGGCGTGCAAGAATGCGCAAAACATAATCAATGACAGGAGAGTTCACCTGATAGAAAAGAATCGTTTTCCCGCTTCCACTGAGTCCGGATAAAACAATGGTATTAGATTTTGGCCGCCTAAGCAAGCGAACTGCAGATCAGAAAAAGTAAAGGAGAAGAACGAACATATTAGACACCATTTACATTCTTACATTTTCCCCTGGAATTTAGTCATAGCTCAGTCATTCCCACCCAACAGTGAAAAATTCCGAGCATTCATCATAGCATAGCTCCGGCAATCAAATACCAATTAGGGATAGAAACCTAAATCAACCGCCTACCCCTAGTCACACTTCACTGATCGTCCACATGGTGAGACAAGCAAGCAAGACATTCTTGGTTTTTTTAACCTTAATCGCCCATAAACAAACCCAATCAACTGCTCGAGCAAGTTCAACAAAGAATTTACAAAAAGAGGGTCGGCTACAAGAAGAATTACCCAGAATGAACAAAAGGGTAGTGAAAACCAGGACGGCAGCAGCGGAGTAGAGCTGAACTGGGGGTATCTGACGGCCGTATTCAATCCCTTTCTGAACTGCCGGTATCTGAGAGGCGTATTCAATCCCTTGCTGAATTGCCGGTATCTGAAGCACGTACTCGATCCCTTGCTGAATCCGTTGCTCCGCCTCGCTCTTCCACTGCTCAATCCCTTCCATGGTGACAGATGAAGACGACAAGATTCCTGCACCCAAAACAAAAGCTCCAAACTTTTCAGCCAAACCACATCCCAGATTCCAGTCACTGAAAGTTCAGACGATCGCTCGACCTTATTGGACTAGATGGTAGCTGGAGTTGGCTTACCGGCGAGAGAAGAAGAGATATAGCGCTACTCCGGTACTCCCCGAGGTCGCCGGTGGAGCGGAATTCTAAACTGTGTTTTTGGCTCGGGTAGTGAAAGAGTTCTCGATCTGTGTGGCTTTGCCATTGTTTGGCAAGAAAAAAACAGTGATGCAGAAAGTTCGCGAACTTCGAAGCTGGGCCGTGAGCCCAAAATATAAATTCTAATGAGGGACGGGAACGTGTTAAGGTCCATGAGAGATAATTGGGGCAGTCAAACTGTGATCTGGCCCATGGCCTGCAACTGCAAGTCACCATCCTCAACCTCCTGACTTTTTCAATTCGACAAATGACAAAATTGATAATAATTTTTTTTAGCTAGGTCACTGTATTGAATAAATGGTTTTGTAACCGAATAAGCCCATTACTTTGGGGGGAAATTGGTAAAAAAAATAATACGGTCACTATATTAGATAATGATTTGTGAGCCTATAAGCCCATGCCTTTGGCATGGAGCAACAATCAATTATATCACATAAAAAATAAAGAATATGATGCCAATTGGATAGTTTTGTACAATTAATTCGAGTTGTTTCCATACTCATATCAATGAAATGAACAAATAGTAAATCAAAACTCTACTGATATTAGTGTATTATATTAGGTTTTGGATATCTATGAATATGAACAGATAATCATTTTTTTCATTGAAATTTTATCTAAAACCATTATACTAGCTAGTGCAAAAGTTATTACGAAGAGTGACCAAATATTAAGAGAAATGTTTTTGAAAAAACAAATTTATTAAGTTGTTATCTATGCATTACACATATTGAATAAGTTGAGAGAGAATAATAACAATACATGCTAATATGCTATGTTATAATTCAGTATCAGAAAATTATGTATGTCAATTTCTCTTTTATCTGTGGCTCTGTGCCAAGTTTTTATGTTGTTTAATAAGATGAGATTCCGGGTCCTAATAAATAACTTGAGATGATGGGGGTGAAATTTTGAGGTTTTGGTCATGAAATGTGTGCGTTGAACTAAAAACACGAGATTCCCATATGGGGAAAAGAAAACAAGACAGGAAACAAAACAAATACATCTGGTCTGGGATAAGCACCAAATCACTGCCCACCAAGCTCAGTTAGCACACCATTTCGACTTCTTAAATTAAATTGGACTATTCCTCAAAAAAAAAAAATTAAATTGGACTAAGGATCTTGAGGTCACGTTCCTGGACTTCCTTGCCACTGCGAGTCTGCGACACACCTGAAAACAATTACAAATAACACTAAAATAACCATAAAAAATAATACTAATAATAATAATTATACATTATCACACACACAAAAACAATACTAATAATAATTAAACGAAAAGGAAATATCCTTTTAGGCTGGCTGGCTGGCGATGGTCCAGCTCGGTGGCCGCACCTTCACTGCATCTCCTCGCCTGACGCCGATCCCAAACTCATCACTTCCTTTACTTTAATTTTCAGCTCGCACCCAGCAAACTTGTTCTCGTTAACATTTCTTTCTTTATGCCTAATGGATGATTTGGTTGGACTTGGAAGCACTTCTAAAGATAACAAGTGGTATACCAATGAATACAAGGACCAACTAGATAGGTTGCGGCCGAGCTCTGCATCGGTTCGAGATTTCTTTTATTTGCCTTTGTTGGTTAGTCGTTTGTGTGTCATTTGGTTTTAATGAGTAAAATCTAAAATCGTTATGATGGCTTCTATGACTTATTTACAAAAATGAGTGTATGCTACACGTCTACAATCATTACTTGTCATCCCTATTTCTATCAAATGAACAAAATTAAAAAATGTTTAATAAAATTAGGGATGTAAACGAATTGAGTCGGCGGCGGATAGTGCATATTCATTACCCTATTAATTAAAAATAGTTCGAGTTTTACCCATACCACACATGAATCGGGTAGAAAATTAAAATCATGTCCATATCCGATTTTTCATGTATTCATGGTTATCCATGAATAATAATTTTTTCTTATAACTCTAATAAACATGACATTACATAAGTGAAAAGCACCACAATAAATCATTCAAAATGAAGAATATATATATTAAAAAACACAATTCATAAAATATATTATATATGTATAATAAATATAAAAAAATTTAGAAAATATTGACTCTTTCTGGACAAAACATATATGCATAATGTGTATTATCGGCAGGTTTGGGTTGGAGAGTGAGAAAACCATGCACATCCATTACCCACAAGGATTCGATTGTACCCATAACCACTTAAAATCCTTCATATTCGAGTTTTACCCTACCCGATTAGGTCGGATTCAAATGGGTATCTACAGTTATAGATATTTTTCTGATCCCTTATAGAAATAATGATATAGCATCATTAGAAGTTCAGAACTCTCAAATTGGGAAACACTTTAAAGAATATGCGTGCTAAGCTAAATCCCTCGTACCAAAAAATTACAACTATGAATTATGCAGAAGTTGCAAAATGCTAAAAAGGGAAAACATAAGCATAAAGAAAAGAACGAACCAATGGGCGCATATTAGCCGGATGGAGATAAACATAGAATTATAGTACATGATTACAAAGGGGTTAGGCAACAGTAATTTAGTTTTAGCTTTATACAATACTAGATGGCAATATCGTTACTTGTCGCGGGGCGGAGATGGCCTATGGTGGGCATGTATTATGAGGTCCGTTATGGTGTTTTGTTAGTATTATTAGTCTAAAATTAATTTTTTGTTAACAGTTTTGTTAGTAATATTGACTGAGAATAGATATATGGCTGTCAATATCCAATTTAAAATTTTTAGCTAATAAATAATATTTACCTAAACCCAAGTAGACTCATTGATTATGAGTAGGGTATGGGTGACGTATATATGGGTTTAAAAAGTTTGTAGATGGGTTTGGGTAGGGTATACATATTTACTTTCATAATCTAAATGTGTATGAGTTGATATGGATATCCATTTATTTGAGGGTGTTTTAATTACACATACCAAAATTAGACCTATTTGTAGAACTTCAAAAGCTCATGTACTAAGATGTAATACAAAAAAAAATTAGGTACTACAATGTAATGTTTCATAAATATTTTGAGGACTTATATGCAAAAAAAATAAATTTAGGTTATAAATCTAAATATCTATTAAGTTTAGGTACCCAACAGTAATTTGCATAGTTGAGGCTTAATTTCTTTTATGGTGATGTATTTAAGATAATAATTATTTACTTTTATATAGCAAATAGAAAACTATTTATTTGATATACATAATTATTGAAAATTCCATGTATAATTGTTGAAATTCTAGTTCGGGTGAAAAAGAAAAGAGAGAAGCAAAAGAAATACAAACTGGAACTCGCTTAAAATTTCTTGCCTTCAAATCGCAGAGTGAAAAATGACGACTTTCTAATAAGTAATAACCATATATATTCGTTTTTAATTGGACTCGACATTGACCTGAAAAAGTTAGTGGTTCATGTTATAATTATTAATTTTCTAGATTGTTGGTCAGTAGTGAATGGACTCGTTCATACTTGTGATTAGAATGCATAAAAATAGTATACTATTTAGGGTTAGACGAAGAAGGCAAAGAAAGAAATAAAGAAAAGGTTATGGAAAGGGAGTGAAAAATGAAAGGGCAATGTCTATTTTTTATCCAAACCTTTTTTAGATTCTTTTATATTGTCCAAACCTATCGAAATACTAAGAATTAGCCAAATGTTAACTTTCAGTTAACAATTTTGTTAGTAATATTGGTTTGGCAACATGATACTGACTTGGAAGAGACGGATGAAGGTCAACATTTTAAAATTTTAGTATTTTAACAACGAAAAGAGTTACTAAATTATTAACAATAACGTAAAAATGACTAATATTTTGTTGCATTACGAAAAAATTGGCTAATTAATAGCATTTTCATAGGTTTGGATAATATAAAAGAATCTGAAAATTTTTTGGATAAAAAATAGACATTACCCAAAATGAAACGAAAGGGAAGTAGATGATGAAAATGTTTTGACCAATTCTTTTAGTTGGCCGTCAAAACAACAGTCAACCCTATTTACAGTAGCAATTTATTGACATTTGCTTATGTAGATGTCGTATATTTTTGTTACATGTAGTTATTAGAAGTTTGTTTAGTACCCCGTAAATGTATTAAATGAGTTTATAGATTCGATCTTGCAATATTTTTGAATCGTCTCTATTTTATTATTTTTTTAATATTTCACGTAATGAGCAAATATAAAATGTTCGAATCTTCTCCTACAGTTAAGTGATACAACATCTTGTATGGTACAACCTAAATTTATACTTTTATATTATGGTGGATTGGATTCATGGATTGGTTCAAAAGGAACGGTGGATTGGATTCATGGATTCAAGTGAAATCTAAACATTGGACCAATATGTAAAAGTAAAAAATTGTAGGTAGGAAAATCTCATAAAATTTAAATCCAAAACATAATTATTCAATGATTTTACATTAAAATTAAATTTAGGGTATCAAAATGTAATAGTTTAGTGAACAGTAAACATGATTCACGTTTATATATTAAATAATAATATATAAGTGAAAAGTTGAGAAGTTAGACAAAATGTATATTGAAATGAAAGAAATATATGAGCTCTTATAACGAACCAGGTGATGACAACTTCTTATTTGGATAATGTCTATTTTTTATCCAAACCTTTTTCAGATTTTTTTATATTATCCAAACCTATTAAAATGCTATTTATTAACCAAATTTTTCGTAATGCATCAAAATATTAGCCATTTTTACGTTATAGTTATAATTTTGTAACTCTTTTCTTAGTTAAAATACTAAAATTTTGGAATGTTGACCTTCATGTGTCTCTTCCAAGTCAGTATCATGTTGTCAAGTCAATATTACTAACAAAATTGTTAACTGGAAGTTAACATTTGGCTAATTATTAGTATTTCGATTGATTTGACTAATAAAAAAGAATCCGAAAAAAGTTTGACTAATAAATAGTCATTACCCTTCTTAGGTTTTAGAACTTAATGAAGGTTCAGTTCTAAACTCCTTCTTTCTGATCGATCCATATGCCTTACTTTTTAAAGAGAGAACTTGACTTAAAATAAAACGCAAAGGATTTTTTTC